ACACACACACACACACACACACACACACACACACACACACACACACATATATATTCACATAGCTAATTACTAGGCAAGGTAGTACATGCCTGTCATGTCAGCACTCAGAAGGGTAAAGAAAGAGGATTAAAGATTCAAGGTCCACCTGGATCTCATCATGGGATTTTACCTTCAAAATAAAACAAACAAAAGCCTAACCAAAAACCAAAAAAAAAAAAAAAAAAAAAGGAAAAAAAAAAAACAAACCAAACCAAAAAAAAAAAAAACCAGTAGCACCCTAAAACAAGGACCTTCCAAGGCATGCCACATTACCCCAGTTTTATAGGTTCACCGATGTTCACTGCCAAGTCACAGGACAAAGTAGTGGGCACACGGCTGGCCGGTGAGGCTCTGGGTAGGGTCCCACAAAAAGGCAGGGTCAGCGTGGGTGCAGAGATGCCTCTGCGAGGCAGCAGGGGCAGTGAGTCCTGCTGTTCTTGCATCTGTGCATGTGAGTCTGTTTCAGCTGCGTCATGTTCGTGCTCATTCCTGGGTACACAGAGCAAACACCGGCTGCCAGCGAGCATGTCCTCAAGGTGGCAGTCATGTTGAGACCTCTCTATTCAGTGCCACAAGTTCACATTTTTCTGTGATTTTATCTGGTCATTTATCAAGTTAAAATGCTTCTGAGCTTGATGCCAGGCTTCCTAGTGCTGTGTGGAGCAAACTCACAAGTCTCCAATGTTCCACTCAGGCTGAGTTTGATGCCGTTCACTCACCAGTGTAGACTGAACAGGTGCGTTTGAACAGACATGTACACAAAGGAAGGTCCCTGTGCTCACCATACTGTGGCCAGAGCTCCAGGAACCTGAGCATATTGCCTGGGATGGCCTCTCTGCTTGTGTTCCCTGTGTCCCATGATGTCAGAGGACACAACCTCCAGGGGAGTTGACTGCTGTGGACTCGGTGTCATCTTCTAACAGCTCTGGGTGTGGCTGCTACAGCTAAGCATCATTCTCAACATCAGAAGAACTCTAGACTCAAGTGTTCTGACTCTACCACAGGTTAATCAGTCATCCATCATCTGGGTAAAGATCCATAAGAATCACCCCAAGGCTTCCCAGAGCGGATGAGCCAGCTGGGAAGCCAAGAATCCTCTGTGGTAACTCACACTCCATTTAAGCACTGGATAGCAAATGTTGTGGGTAAAGTACTTCCTGGAAGGTGTTAGAAAAGAGACTTTATCATTATTGGTGCTTACTCAAGTAGACATGACAAGAACTGAGTGAGTCCACCGAGAGGTGATTGAAGGTGACATGGTGAACAAGGAGAATGTCCCTGTAGGAGAACTGATGTGAATGAAGCCACTTGGTCCTTGGGGGCTGGGAGGGTGCTAACTGGGCTCCATCTAAGAGCTGGAAGCGAGAGTCTGTGGACAAGGCACAAGTGGGGACAGTGTGCTGACCTGAGCCAGGCAATGGCAGCCACCCCAGCGCCCTGTCAATACCACAGTGGCTTCTGGGTTCTTGGACAGGAAAGCTGAACACAGAAATTTCTCATTTTTTTTTCATGCAGGAAGATAGATTTGGACTAGATGACAGTATGGAAATGTAATGCCAGACTTTCTAGGGGTTTTAACAGAACCTGGGCTCTCGGTGTTTATGCCATAAGAGCCAGGAGTGTGGCACTCCTCAGAGAAGATAACTACTCGGCACAGATCTTACAGAGCCGAAAGTGATGCTGGATTTCTGGGATGGTTGTTATCTGCTCTGCTGTAGTAAGACAGCTCTCACCTCCAGTGTGCTAAAGCCCTGGGCTGCCTGGAGGATGGTGAGTCTGAAATCCAGAGGTTGAGATGAAGCTGTTGTGAGCACAATTCCAAGTGTGAGGCTTAAAGAAAGATTTAGACCCAGCATCTTAGTTTGTGTGACTCTAGACAAGGGCAAAAGGCAACCGTGCCTGTGCTGCGAGGGAGAAGGGAGCAAAGGAGCTGTGCTAGTTTCATTCCTGTGAGCACTTTTATACTCGGTTAGGGTGTGGTGGCTTGCACCTGGGGTGTGGAAGCTCCACAGTAAGGCAGCTGCCCACACCGGGACTCCCTCAGCTGCCTTCTCCCACCACACACTGCTGCTTTCCTCCTTGCTGGTCTGAAGGAACTTGCCTTCAGAATGCACTTAAGATGCCCATTCCATGAGCGCTTTTAGGGTCCTCATTTGTGGGGACGGGTTCACCTAAGAGCAAACCCTACATAGCCAGTCGGAGGCCTGCTACATACATATATTGTGCTCCTACGAGGAGCTTTGCTGGACTAGCCGCTTATTTGCGATAGGTCTATGATGATGGACTCCCTTTTCCCAGAAAGGTTCTAAAAATCTCCCCTGATCTGGGTGACCCCAGATTTTGTAAGAAGTGTCACATAGCCCCCAGGGCAGATTACAAGCCTAACTCTTTCCTGATAAGAAAACTGGTCCAACAAACATTTGGGAATTCCTAGAACTGCCCCACCCTGCTAAAGATCTTAGTCTTCAGCAGTGACCGTCAATTGTATCTGGAGATTCTCACATCTACAGGGTAATTAAGTACTGCATTCTCCTTCTTGTGATAGGACGATGCTACTACATGGAAAATGATACACTGTACCACTACATGCAAATGAAGTATCCCTGACTCCAGCAAATCAAACACATTCACCCTAGAAATCCCTCCTACTGCACAAGGTTGTAAATCTCTGTGCTCCATGATAACCTTCAGCCTTCCACCATGGCTGCCTGAGATTCATCATTTATCCCCTGCCCAGCCTCATCTCACCGGGCCTGCTCTTCAGCTCACTGTGCCTGAGCCTTACCAGGCCTGCAAGCCCATGAAGCATGGGCTTTTGCCCGCACCTCTGCCGTGATTAAGCACAGTAGCTTAACCAAGAGCTGTAACGCTTTGGTATCACCATGGGCTTTGGAAAGCCCGAGTCTCCACTGCCACCACCAATCTCATTCTAGAAGAGCTGAACTGTAACACTCTGTGGGAAACTTTTCCATATCCCAGCCTGGTGCCCAGGCTTCATCCTGAAATAGATGCGGACCTTTGACTCTGTTCTCCATCCAGAAGCTGAGCCACAGGCCCTCGTGGAATGGAGAATGACACTCCTGTATCACCAGGGGTCGACTGATGATCTCAACTGTAAAGTGACACAATTCTTCTCAACCATGTTCAATGTGGCATTTACAAAGCTTCAGGCATTTTGATAATTCCTGCCTAGCAACTCCCTGACAGCAGCTTTTATATTAAGTAGTTCTTCATGATGAGATGAGTCTTCAAGTGGCTCCGACAGTAAGAAGTTTGAAAACACTTCTCCTGCTCTTCTCTTGAGACTAACATCCTTTTCCATAACAATTTCTCCTTTATGGTTGCAGGAAATCCTGTCTCCATTGTCAGGTGTGGGTACTTTTCTTTTGATAAGAGCCTATTCCCAGTGTGTGTGCTAGAGAAAAGTAAAATCAGCAACAGAATGGCTAGAAATGGAAATAGAGCCTAGCATCCAAGAAAAATAGCACCAGGAGCAGCAAAAGGCAAGCTGGGTGCCTCTATCCCCTCGGTGTTCAGGGGCTCACAGCCGTGCAGCTCCCCATGTTGATGCAGAAATGACCTTGTTCCCAAATTATTTCTTCCAGAGTTTTGGGACCAGCAGTGACCTTCAAAGTGAATGCCAATAGCCAAAACATGAGAACTGCAGATGCCACCAAGGCTGCAGGTAAGACTGTTTCATGTGTGTGTTGTTGTCGTGTCTGAGCTGTGAAAGAGAACGGCAGCTTGGCAAAGTGAGGGCTGGTGTCGGTAGCTCCCTGTGAGAAGACGTTTTGCGCCGTGCCAGCTGGGAGCACTCTGGCTTTGCTGCTACCCCCGGAGACCCCTCTCCATCTAGAGGTGTAAGGGACACAGTGACTTCTACACATGTCCAGGGCATCTCTGAGACATCTGCCCTGGTAGACGAGGGACGGCTGTGGGATGTGCTCAGTGATGTCATCGTAAAACATGACTTGCTGGCTGCTTGGAGAAGAGAAGGGAGGTGAACAGTTTGTGCATCTTCCTCAATATGTTCTGACCTACTGGGCACTCCTGTGCGGTGGGCTGTGAATCTTGGTAATTAGGAAGACACAGGTGGCATAACAGTGTTTGGGGCGACTTGCCGGAGGAATGTGTGCCCCATAAGTCTGTTTCTCAGAGGCCAGGCTGAGGACGCAATCCCAGACATGGCAGAGCTCTGGTCTTCTCTAACCGTGTACATTGCTAAGTGTGGGGATTGTTTTTGTTGCTGAGCTGTAAGTAATCTTAGATGCCAGTGTTCCTATTGGCTCTGAAACTGGTGTGCTTCCCTCCCCTCATGACAGCTTCTTTGTCGTGTGATGGAGTAGTATAGGCTGTGCCCTGATCCCATCCAGGAGGGACACTCCCTCCACTTCCTCTGCTTTGAGTGCTTTCAGGCTAACTCACAGGAGACTCCATGTCCCTGGATGCGCTTTGTGTTGTGATCTGAGGGTAGCAGTCTGATTAAAAAGCAGAGTGTTTAGGCTTCAAAAGTTGGCAGAGCTGATTCATAGGGTCATTTCATTGCCTCTTGCCAGTCATGTAGGGCTGGGATGCCATGCGCTGGAGTACTGTGCCATTACCATACTGTGCCAGTGCTGTGGCACAGCTCAGGGGGCGTTCTGAAGATTCTGCCACCGAGAAGACAGGAGTTACATTTCAACAGGTTTGCTCCCATGGAGACTTTAGGCCCCTTCTTCCTTCATGAGCATCTGCTTCACACGAGTGACAGGTGAACACATTTAAGAGCAGCCGGTGGCCATGGAGAGATGCTCCTCTGTCACCAGAGGTCATCTCAGGACAAGAAGTAACACACATGGAAGTGGTCTGGCTAGAACCATAAAGAACCGTGGATGGATCAAGTGGAGTAGCTGTGAATATGGCCAAAATATATTGCATGAAATTCTCAAAGAACCAATAAAATGAAAATCCAGTCCAGTCTGTGCTTTGTAATATGTGACCTTCCACTGCGGAGCAGTCTGTGGCGGACAGCCCTGCTATTTATAAAGCAAAGCATGTTGTTAGCATACTCCTCACAATAGCCTACCTACTGGCTTTCAGGGGAGTGGTTGATTATCTTTGATCGAGTTTCTGGCTATTTCAAATGTGTGCGTGCCGTGTGCTGACTTTTTATCGCGGCAAAAATCATGCAGAAAGTGGAGGGTGGAGTCTTGTATCTCAGCAGCTCTGGGAATGCTGCCTCTGCCAACCTGCCAGGCGCACCTGTGAGATTGCTAAACTGCTGTAGCTGGTCCAGGCCCTGTTTGAACATGTATGAAGCTGTAAGCATGTAAAAATGTGTGTTCCTTTTGTGTTTTTAACAATACCGTGTTATTATGGATGGACTTGAGGCTGTTTGAGAAAACCGGGCTGAGACCTCAGCCCAGTACAGCAAGCACACTACCATCCTCATAGAGCTCTGGTTCCAGGGGGAGCACGGGTGGCTCACTGAGGACTAGCTGTGAGTGTGGATAAAGCAGATTTTTCCTTCAAAATGCATTTCCTTACCCTTTATTATAAAGCCTGACATAGAGCCGTACCAGGGCCGTCAAAAGCTTCCTAATGTCTCGGGCTGGGGCACATACTGGGATGCCATTGGTGCTATGGACAGAAACCTAACAGCGCCTTCTGTAGAAACCCACTGATGGTTTAGTTTGGCTTCTGAGGAACTGGGTGAAGGAAGGCGTAACCCTGGTAACAGAACCTAAGTTTATCGGGCAATTTCTAAAAAGGTGATACAGAAATTAGTGAGTAGATTTCCATTTAATACCATCAAATACCATGTGGTGTTAATACTGAGTGGCAATTGCAAACACTGACATTTAGAATCTCTTCTAGGTCCTAGGTGACTCCCTCTGGGAATTCTGGTTCATTACTTTATTTTCATTCCTATTTTCTTATTGGATTAAGTTATATTACTTATTCAAACATAGTGGGCTTCATTGTATCATCTGCATACATCTCTGTCCTTTGATCACATTCATTCTTTCACCCTCTCCTTTTCTCCTTCCCCACTGCCGTTTTACTTTAACAGTCCTCTTCTATTGGTATAATTTTTCAAAGTACAGATTCTACACACGAGAGGGAACATAGACCCTTTGTCTATTCCAATCTGACTTATTTTCTTACCCACCATGATCTCCAGTCTTACCTATTTTCCTGCAAATGGCTTGATTTTGACTTTGTTTCTGGATGAACGGTCTTCCACTCTGTATGTAAAACACATTCTCCTTGTCTGTGTCTGGAAGTTCTGCCCAGTATGAACCTGGGTGTGAGCAGTGGATTCTGTGACTGTTGAGATAGCGACTCTCATACAGAGACACGTACCCTGTGCTTTGGAGGGTATATGCTGACGCTGGTTGTCACTGTGGCCCTGTGCCCAGTCACTCTGATAACCACAGGAAAGTCTTTCCTTCCTTCCTTTCTTTTGTCACTTTATCCATTTATCCATTGTTACATTTATCCATGTTTTTTTTTATTAGTAGAGACTTTGATGCTATGCATTTTAATTATAATCACCCCTTCCAACTTCTCTTGGATTCACTTTTCCTCACCTACCCGACTTTGTGTTCTGATTCCTCAGAACCTAGCAGATCCACTTTATGCCACCCAGACACCCTTAGGTGTGGGGCCAGCCCTGGAGCAGGTCAGCCTAACAGCTCACACCCTCACCAGAACTGACCCTCCTTTTCCTGGAAGTGGTCGACGGCCAACAGCTTTCCAGCTACGGATAGGACTTTGTAGCGCCTGTTTCCAAAAACAAAATCCTTTCTTGCTCTCACATCACTGGGAGTGTTTTCGTAGCCTTAGTTTCTCATCAACTCTTATATGTCTCTGTTAAAAAAACAAACGGCTTTTGCTCACCTTGTAGAGGCCAGCATCTCTGTTTGCCCGGTCTCTGTGGAGAGTCTACTGAGTAAACTTGCCATTAGGTTACCCATAGTCCCCCTAACATCCTTGTGTTGCCATGCCTTCATTACCTGAAGTCAGGCTCTTCCTACCAAAGTTCTTCTTCCCTCTCAGGAGGCACTGGGGGCCTGTGGTGGGTAATTGCCACTGGGTGTGCCTGGCTCATTTACTGACTCTTTTCTCAGGAGTTGCCTATACTCAACTGCTCTCAGGAGGAAACAATTCAAGACAAGATAAAATTATTTCGAACACTAAACGTTAAAGGGTTTTAAAGCAGAGTGTCAAGGTCTGACTTATAGTTTCAGTTACGTTTTTAAAAAGTTCTTTGATTCATGTTGAGAAAGGCAAGGTGTGAAGGGCCTTTGAGTCTACTGCAGGCAAGATGTAGAAGATGAAGGGAAGATACGGCAGTAATGTGGATGAGGACCAAGAGAGGGGCAAGAAAGGTCCATGATGTGGACGGTGATGCAGATGGGGACAGTTCTGTGAACACAGACGCTCCTGTGGCTGTGGACCGTAAGGAAAATGACATGGATGAAAACTGCAGGCAGAGGCCACAAGAGAGCAGGGCCCTCAGGCTAGAGGTCGGGGCTCTCAGGGTATTACTGCATGGAGTGCAAGGACAGGTTCAAGTCCAACACTTGCTTCCTGATTTGTACCTAAGTAGATATCTGTCGCAGGAAGTGCTTGGGGATGAACACATTGAGCAAAACAGGAATTTGCTTTTGCCCATGTTGCCATTAGGGAAGGACCCAAAAAGGGATGTAGTGTTCCCCGAAAGCTTTGTGCAGAAGCTTGGTCTTCAGCTTGCATTGGTAGTGGGGGGCAGTGAACCTCTCTGAGGTGACCCTAGTGGAAGGGAGCTGGGTCATCATTGGAAGTGATGTTAGGATTCAGTGTCCTTCCTCTTTTTATTTCTCAACTTCCCTGAGGTGAATAGCCTCCTCTGCCATGAGCTCCCACAGGACCATGGTGGCAGACCAAACAACCTTACACCAACCCTTCTGAAACTGTGAGCTGAAACAGACCTTTCCTCCTCTTCAGTGGATTATCTCAAGTGTCTCCGTACAATCACAGAAATCTGACTTGTATAGAACAGTTACATGTGCAAACAGGGGCTCAGTATGGAAAATCAGTTTCTCCCCTGCAGGCCTAGCCTGTTCTGTTAGGCAGGCTCTGCCTGAGGCAGTGTGCTGACAGGCGTTTGATCAACTTGACACAAGCTAGAATCATTTGGGAAGAGAGAAGCTCAATTGAGGAAACACTCCTACCAGACTAGCCTGTAGGCAAGCCTATGGAGCAGTTTCTTGATTAATGATTTGTGTCGGTGGGCCCAGCCTGCTGTGCATGCCTGCCATCCCTGGCTTGGTGGTCCTGGGTTCTATAAGAGAGCAGGCTGAGCAAACTACGAGGAGCAAGCCAGTAAGCAGCACTTCCCCGTGGCCTCTGCATCAGCTCCTGCTTCTAGGTGTATGTCTTGGGGTCTTGCCCTGACTTCTCTGGTGATAGACTACAAGCTGTAAGCTGAAATAATCTCTTTGCTCCTTAAGCTGCTGTTGGCTAGTGTTTTACCAAAGTAGTAGAAACTATCACTAAGACAGGCAGTGACTGAGAAGCATAGCGGTTAGTGACCAGCAGCCCTAGCTCTACCTGTCTTGAAGCCTAAATTCCTCCTCTCCAAGTTTGCGGCTGGGCACCTCTGAACAGCATAGAACTGTGGTGTCAGTGCTATCAGGTAGCACGCAGTGGCTGTTCTGT